CGTCCCAAAAAAAAAAAACAAAATAAAAACAAAAATCATGATATAAATAGAAATAGAACAATTTTCATCGTCATGTAAAACTTTGAATCAATTACAGAAAAATATAGTATATGAGGTTTTTTTTTTTTTTTTTTTGGATGACGAGGGAAAGTACATTCAATATCCGATAATGTGTATTGAGTAAACTCTACATTGTGAACCTAACCGGCAAAAGATCACTTGGAGGTAAAGCAATCTAGGTTGTCCATAGCTAATCGGTTCAAAACAAGAAAGTCAATAAGCCACTCCTACTGAGAGTTAAGATATGAGTTATTTTAACAGTATTATTTAAAGGTGTAACAATTTAGAAGGAACAAAAAAGGAATATGGATAATATATATATATATATATATATATATATATATATATATATATATATATATATATATATGTATATGTATATGTATATGTATATGTATATGTATATGTATATGTATATGTATATGTATATGTATATGTATGTATGTAAAGGAATTAAGTATAATGTTCAAGTTAACCCTGCTATATGAATACATTTTTATTCTTGTTAAATTTGATATGAGAGCTTCTCACATCTTGAGAAATAAATGTGCTAACTTTTTGGTCAATTTGAAACAAATCAGTGATTAAGGTGTGTTAGTATTGGACCAATCCCGAAGGAAATAAAGGATACACTACTTTTTTTTTTTCTTTTTTATGTTACGGGTGTTTTTTTTTTCTCTCAAAAGGTTGAATTTCTATGTAATTTCAACACTAAGGGTTCTCCACGCCTTGGTCCGATAGAGCATGTGGGAGAAGGTAAATCACAGTAATTCAATGGCTCAGCAAACATGGTCAAATGGCGCCGGTATGCACAAAAAATTTGTCCACGTTGAGTATAACCTCATACTACTGTCGTTGCCGAGTTTTGAACATTAATCTTTTCTCTCAAATATTACCTACTAAATCACTGAATTAAGCCTGCGGGAACAAGTTATAGGTGTTTCTACCCAAGGGGTTAAGGGGGTGGGGACTTGGGGCCCTTCATCATTTGAGGTTTCTCTCGGATGACAAAAAAAGAATTATTATATAATTTTAAATAGTAACCTAAAAGTGAATCTCTATTAATAATTTTAATATGAAATTAATAATATCTCACTCGATAAAATTGACGGAATTATATATTTTTCATCCTATACTTTTAATTTCCATAAAGAAAAAAAAAAAAGCAAAACTTAATGAACAATTAAAAATATTTTTTGAAAAGAAAAATTGATCAGATTCAGATCTCATCATGCACCAATTGAATATTTGCCATTTTTCAACTAAAGAAAACAGAAATTATTAATAATAATAACAAAAACAGCCACCATTAAAAATATCCTTTTCTTTTTACAACAATACATCGAATGTATGCAGTGTGCCATTTCTTGGACTTATAAAGTATTTTATTACACAATCTTTTAAGTTAAGTCTGCCCGTAACGTAACAATCAAAAGAGGCAACTGAAAATAATATATAATAATTCAACACCTAAAGTCCTCATATTTGGACTATAGTACTAAGTTGTATACTTGTATTGCATATTTTAAATAAGAGTTAATTCTCAAAATGGTCCTTCGATTATGATTTTTTCTTAAATTGGTCCCTTAACTTTTAAATTTCTCCAAAGTAGTCTTCAGATTTTTGAATTTTAAGCTAAAATGATCCTCTGTTAGGTTTGGTGTTAAGTTGGTGTTAAAATGAAGGGTAAAACTAGAAATTTAGGTTTTGCACTCCAATTTAAAGCAATCTGTGATTCCTTTTAGCAGTCTACACACATATTTCTTCAAATTAGATTTTTACTCTCCTAAATCAGCAATCAAAAAGTGGGATAAAATGTGGGATTATCCCATATTTTGATTGCAGATTTACAAGAGCAAAAACCTAATTTGAAGAAATATGTGCGCTACTGTTGAAAGGAATCACATATTGCTTTAAATTGGAGTGCAAAACCTAAATTTTCAGTTTTACCCTTCATTTTAACACTAACTTAACACCAAAGCTAACGGAGGATCATTTTGGCTTAAAATTCAAAAGTCGAAGGACCATTTTAGAATAATTAAAAATCAAGGGACCAATTTAAAAAAATGTCATAGTCGGAAGACCATTTTGGGAATTAACTCTTTTAAATAATTAGTATTAAATAATTTAATTTGTACCAAAATCAATTATTTCACGTATAAAAAGAAAGAAATATAAAGATGGTAATGATTGTCACAAATCACATGAGTTGAACTAAATTTAAAAATAAATTATTTAAGACTAACAATTATAAAGATACCAGAAAACTATCATCGTAGCTCAGGAGTAAGGATTAGTGACATGATAATTGGAGTTTACCACTATTATTACTCTCTAACTAACTTCGCTACACTCGCAGCTCGTGAGTAAGAGGCTGATAACGGGATAATTTTATAAGTTACCATACTCGACCTGGACCCAAGGAATGAGAGCACAACAAAAAAAGCTATCAAGTGTAATGATCACAAACTTATTACAGAACACTACATCATTAAAGAGCAACAGTTATGAAGAGCATCTGGCACTTATTGAGAAGATCACTACAATTATTATAGGGCCCGTTATACTGAAAATAACTGTTGTACTTACTAGTATAAATACTAGACCTCTGTGGTAAGTAAGGGATATGTTCAATCTTATACTCAAAACTCTTAATAATACAATTACTCATCTACTTACTCTTTTCGTATGCATATTTTGATATCTTTATACTGTCAAAGACATAACGCTTTTAAGTTCACATAAATACATGAATCTCAACAAATGTTACTTATTAGTGTAATTTGTATATTATCGGATAGTAATTGATTAGTACTACACTAAATTGCATTATTAAATAATATAATGATGAATATTTTTCACATGACTTATATTTTTTTTTTTTTAAATAATTTTATACAACATCCGATATCATTACCTTAGCCTGTACGGGATTCTTCACCTTACTTACTCTTATTTCTTTCTATTTTCTTCTTTTTCATTCAACATAGAAATAAAGGTCAAATAGACCATCGAACCGTACACAATAATACAATTAGGTCACTGAACTCAAAAAAGTTACAATTGAATCCCTAAATTAACCTATTTCAAGTAATTTGTCCAATTTGCAAATTTTTCCTCTTTCTAACAGGTCACCCAGTTTAAAATATTTTTTAAAAATAATTTTTTTAAAAAATTAATTAAAATAAGAGACGAAGTTTTTTATTTAAAAAAATTTAGTTTATTTTAATTAATTTTTTTAAAATTATTTTTTAATTTTTTTTTTTTAAATTGGGTGACCTGTTAGAAAGGGAGAAAAGCTGCAAATTGGACAAATTGCTTGAAATGAGTTAGTTTAGGGACTCAATTGTAACTTTTTTGAGTTCAATGGTCTAATTGCATTATTGTGTGCGATTCGATGGCCTATTTGACCATTATTTTTTCAACATATGATGTATATCTCACCTTACAATTATATTAGCAGTTCATTTACTAACTGTGTACCAAAAAAATAAAAAATAAAAAAAAACTGTACCAAACTAATGGATTTACAAGACTTTGAAACATGATTTATGGTGGTTTTACTATGGCCTAGTTTGTAAAAAAAAAAATTAAAATAAAATTTACTTAGCTATAATTGTAATTTAATTTATGCTAAATATAAAAATAAAAAAAAACTTGCAATATTTTAAAATATAGAATTCATTTTTTTAAACTCAAAAATGTCCTTTTACTAGTCATTGATACTTGTTTTTAACTCTAACTTAATTACAAATTACTCATTTAGGCATAAGAATACCAATTCAATGTCAACATAAAGAAAGTGAAGAAGCTACCAATATAATAGAAAAAATTGAGTTAATTATGAACAAACTAAAAGCATCATTTTAGAAAAAATAATAACAACAAAGTTGAACATAAAGATTGTAGTACCTTTAATTTTTAAGTTATAGCTTAAGTATAGCTTTAGGACCTAATTGACATGTTGTTGCAAACAAATCCCTTAAAAGTGACTATTATTCTCCAAATATATCTAATGATTAAAAGTATAATTTTTTCAAATAGTTACTTTTGAAGACAAAAAAAAAAAAAAAAAAAATTAAAGTACATTAGTAATCAATTGAAGGATAAATTTGCCATGGTATGCCAATTAGGATTTAAAATTATACATATTTTATAAATTAGAAATAAAAAATGTGATGTATTTAAAAATATGGTGGACTACCTTCCTCTTCGTGGAAAGCGCTTTTTCCTCCTAGTTGTCTGCTAAGGTTTTTGATCTTTGAGTTATCTTGTTCCAGTCCTTCATCTGCTATTTTCTGTCAAGGGTTTTAGTTAGTGGCAAGTGTGTGCCAAACTCTTCAGGGGATAAAGAGTGGAGATTGTGCAATTGAGTCGAGTCAGTTAGAACTTAAAAGACATGTATGCTTGGGTTACGCTGATTAGCTCCTTTGGTAATGTAGTGGTTCAGCACATTAGGAGAGCAGCAAACGCGGTTGCTCAAAGTCTTGCTAAGGTGGCGTTGACACAATCTAGTGGGGGAGTGGAGTCTTGCTCCGCCCACGTATATTTTTAAACTACTTGTTTCTCACCATTAATTGATTCGTCTCGTTTTGCTTCAAAAAAATTTAAAAATTTAAATTTCTTCAAGTTGGAAAAAGAAAAAAGAAAAAAGGCAAAGGTGTTTTTTCTTGAATGTACTTCTCAATGATAATAAAAGAGAGCAGCCAAAAAAAAATAATAATAATAAAAAAAAAGAGCAGCCAAAAATGAGCATAACTAGTTTTACCAGCCAGTCGGTCCACGTAGGTGGGTTTAGGACAGTTAGGTAGTTTGCTCGTACTTGATGAGTTTATGTGTCCACTCTCTATTACGCATACTTCCTCTCCTTCCAACCTAAAAATTCATTTTTCTGGTTTTTATATTTATATATATATTTTTTAATTTCTTAGTTGATATTTCCTATGAAATTCACAACTATAAAATGGTGTCACCAACATTCTCAAGATTTCAGCCACCCTTCTTGCAACCAAATCTCCGCACTGCTTAAATTCTTCTTACATCCCTTCCGGTCTCAGCTTTTTAAGGTAAAGGTCCAAATTTTCTCCGTTAATTCTCCGATTTCAGATGCTTTTAAGTGTTTTGAACTGGATTCTTGATCTGGGTAGGGTAGATCCCTGAGTTTTAAGGTTGGGTTTTGTGATTTAATCTGAGGGTTTATACAGGTGAGGAGAAATGGCACGCAAGAAGATCAGAGAGTATGATTCCAAGAGGCTGTTGAAGGAGCATTTCAAGAGGCTCGGTGGCTATGATTTGGCCATCAAATCTGCTCAAGTAAGTAGCAATTTTTCCTGGGCAATCAATCCATGAACTTGTTTTGTTTGTGGGTTTCCTTTTCATTTCCCCTTGGAGATCTATTTTTATTGAATGAGTTTGTGAAAAAGCTTGTTAGGTGAAGAATGAGAATTGAGGGAACTGGGTAAGTAGGCAAACTGGGGCTAGGTTTATGGTGAGAAACAAGTATGAGAATTGAGGGAACTGGATAAATGAATAAAAGTTGTTGTCTATAGAGCAGAGGGCCTGTGAGAAAGTACTGAATTAAATTTATCAGCTAAAAATTGACTGTTAACAACCTAATACCTAGATATTATCTTCTTCCTCCCAAAAGGTTGAATCCCCAGCCCCATGGCCCTCTACACCTCGGCCTGCCTGAGCATTTGGAAGGATATAAATCAGGTAACTCAGTGGCCAGCAGACAGGGCTAAATGTCAATGCGCACAAGGGATCTGCCCCACTTTGGGCATAATCCCCACACTGAGTTTCGAATCTTGGTCTCTTTCCCCAAATACTGTCTATTGAACCAGTGAGCTAAGCTCGTGCGGGCAATACCTAGATATTATTGAATGCTAGATTGGTAGAACCTTTTTCGAATTCTTAGTTATGCATCAAGTTAACAGTGCTTTCGTTTCCCCTCCCCCCGCCTCCTATTACATACTACTGTAGATTGAACTAAAAGTTCTTTGCCGAGCATTGTAATTTGAGTGACTTTTGTTAGATCATAAGCAGGAGTGATGGAATCATTTACAATGATTAACTGATGGTAAATTTCGTTTCTGTGGTTTAGGTTACAGAATCGACTGATCTCAATGAGTTGGTTGACAAAGAGCCTTGGCTCTCCTCAACAAAATTGGTTGTCAAGCCTGATATGCTCTTCGGCAAGCGTGGGAAAAGCGGTCTGGTTGCCTTGAAGCTAGATCTGGCTGAAGTCGCTGCGTTTGTGAAGGAAAGGCTTGGCAAGGAGGTAATCCTGAAATTTCATGAACTCTATTTTGTTGATTCGATCCTTTGATATGCTCATATATCATTCGTGCCTTACATTTGAATCTTAACACTAACAGGTTGAGATGGGTGGATGCAAAGGTCCCATCACAACTTTCATTGTTGAGCCCTTTGTCCCACACAACGAGGAGTTTTACCTTAACGTCGTCTCTGAGAGGCTTGGATCTAGCATAAGCTTTTCGGAATGTGGAGGAATTGAAATCGAAGAGAACTGGGACAAGGTACCTAAGCCATACTTGTATTGATAATTTCACAACTCTAGCATCCCTTATGTGTCATTTCCTCGAGTAGCATAAGCTTCACTATTGACACCGCGATTTTCTTTATCCAGGTTAAGACCATTTTTGTTCCAACGGGGGTGTCTTTAACCTCAGATCTGTGCGCTCCACTTGTTGCAACACTTCCACTTGAGGTAATATAAATTAAAGAACCACAAGTTGGAAATTCCACTATGCTTTGTAAAGTCCTTTGCTGATAAAAATTTGGCACGTAAAGCACTTTCCATAAATAGTTTTATGGTCTTTATAATCCTTCTCTTCAATCACCATCTGCAATATTTATTAGATACGGTTAAAATTCATATTTTGACATGAAATCTTCGTACACGGTGCAGATCAAGACTGTGATTGAGGACTTCATCAAAGTTGTTTATGCTCTATTTTTAGGTACCTAAAGATGTCTCCAAAATTATTTTTAGCTTCTTTGGATGTTACGATAGCCCTCTAACTTTATTTTTTTTTTTTCATTCTTTTTTAGATTTGGATTTCAGTTTCCTTGAGATGAATCCTTTCACATTGGTTGACGGAAAGCCTTATCCACTGGACATGAGGGGGGAACTCGATGACACTGCTGCTTTTAAGAACTTTAAGAAGTAATTTCATGTCTTTTTTTTTATTTTATTTTATTTTTTTTTTCCTTTGGTGTTTGCCTTTGTATGGTTTGCTTATTAGTTGATGCAAACCGTTCATCTTCATGCTGTGTACATATTCTTACAAGATTCATAACCTACAGGTGGGGAGATATTGAATTCCCGTTGCCATTTGGAAGGGTCATGAGCGCTACAGAAAGCTTTATCCATGGGCTGGATGAGAAGGTATTTCTCGTCTCGAGTCATATTTCTGGAAAATATTTTATATTCTCGAATTGCATGTGGCTTCCACCATTGGGTATGGAGTAACCTTAAATCCCCAGGCCAGCTGACCCATCCTTAGAGATGCCTACAATTCAGCGAGAGGATTAGTCACTGTGCTGACGGTGGAAATCCTGGGTTATACCCAAAAAGAAATTGATTGATAATAATAGTTCATTTTACTTTAAAGCTCAAATTTTTTTATGCATAGCTAGCGTGTGCCTTCTTTACGAAGTTATTTTGTTTCATTTAACTGCAGACAAGTGCATCTTTGAAGTTCACGGTCTTGAACCCAAAGGGACGAATCTGGACCATGGTGGCTGGTGGAGGTGCCAGTGTCATCTATGCCGATACTGTGTGTTTCTGTTCTCGAAACTTTTTTTGCTTATAGAATGAGTGCTTTGATGCCTTTGTTCCTAAATCCTGCCAATTTGCGTTACCAGGTTGGAGACCTTGGATATGCATCTGAACTCGGGAACTATGCTGAATATAGCGGGGCTCCTAATGAAGAAGAGGTCCTGCAGTATGCCAGAGTCGTTATTGATGTAAGAATTGATTGGCTTTGCAGTTTGAGATGACTGACATTATTCTTATTACTCGTATAATAATACACTGAAAGAAAAATAACCGAACCCTTTTTCAGTGTGCAACTGCAGACCCTGATGGTCGTAAAAGAGCTCTCGTGATTGGTGGTGGTATAGCAAACTTTACTGACGTTGCTGCTACATTTAATGGCATAATCCGAGCTTTGAAGGAGAAGGTAAAAGGCGGAACAAACTTCTTTCTAGTTCTAGTAAAAAATGGTAGCTTTACAAACCGAATCATATGAGTTCTATCCTTTCTGCAGGAATCGAAGCTCAAGGCTGCTAGAATGAGTATCTTTGTAAGGAGAGGCGGTCCGAACTACCAAAGGGGTCTTGCTAAGATGAGAGCTCTTGGAGAGGAAATCGGCATCCCCATTGAGGTACGAATGAATGCTGCATCTTATAATTGAAACACGAGCTCCATTTTAACTAAAAACCTATATATTATATGCTCAACACGCCCCCTCAGTCGGGTGACGCGGAGATTCCTGATACCAAACTGAAGCATGTGCTCCATCTCAACTGAAAGGCTAAACTAACAGTTGGATTGCACATTTATGTTTATATATTATTTGCTCAACACTTATAAGTGATCAAAACACATATCACTAATGCTTCAGTAACACCAAACACCGTTATAAAAACCGTTATTATGTTCACCGATGTCACAACGCTCTAACAAGTTCTTGGTCGTGTCGGTTTTTAGGTCTACGGCCCGGAGGCAACCATGACAGGCATTTGCAAGCAGGCAATTGAATGCATCACTGCAGCTGCATAAAGAGCAAAGCAACTAATGCAACTCTGATTTCTATTTTATTCACTTCCTTCCTTTTTGGTTGTGTTTAGATGTCTGTTATAGCAATGTTGTGCCTCTTTTGTTTGTATTTTTGACATTTCCATATAAATGGCCCATTTGAATTGGGCTCGAGCTGCAGCTATGAATCAATCACTTCCTTTATTTTGTGGGATTTTTCTTCTTTAATAACTTTGTAGCATTATTCTGCGATAACAAAGTAATATATGTTCAATACTTTCTCACACATTTTTAGCCCAAAAAATTTAAGCTCCCACCATCAAAACTTTCTAATAATGCTTGTTTTGTTCTGAAGGGCTTAGCCTTCACATTTATCTTACTCAGTAGGCCTTGTACTTTACCGCATTTGTATGCCAATAATGAAATGGAAGAAAAATGTGGTGAGATTTTTGTAATTTTCTACAAGAGTAAAAGACATTTTTAATCCTAAATTTATAGTGGCTTGGACAATTTTAGTCCTTTATAAAAAAATTTGCCATTTTATGGACAGAGTTATTGTGGCGAGGACATTTTTGGTCCTCCGTCTATATTTCTGTTAGATAACCGTCTGAGAGAGGGGTAATTACGTCAATTTAAGCTATCTCCTTCTATCTATTATATCTATTAACATTATCTATATATATATACACACACACACTCACTTCCCCGGTCAAAAATTGTAAAATTATCTAGATAATGTTAATCATGAAAAAAAAATGTGGTACCATTTTTGTAAACATTTTATAACTTTAAAGTGCACGAAGCATAACTGTTTAGTAGAGGCGGTGTCAATACGGGCCGACCCATCTCACAACGTTTGTTTGTTTGTTTTTTTTTTTTTTGGGCTTTTAAAGGCCGACCCACGAAACCCGCGCGCTAAGATTTTACAATCATAACCTGCTTCATGCAAGCTCACGGTTGCAGGTAGCCGGAGGCTAACTTAAAAAAAATTATTAAATTGTTATTCTATATTCAATTAATTTAGTCTAAATTTACACTGAACATCAATACTAAGTGCACTTGACGTTATAACTAGGTGCAACTATAGTTATAAGTGGTTGCACCTAGGTGCACGAATGTTAATATGGCAAAATTACATGCACTTGTAGTTGAAAGTAGGTACAGTTGTAAGTGAATTTACCTGCAATTTTTACTTGCAAAGATGCATAAGCTACTTGCACTTATAACACATTTACTTGCACCAAAGTTCGAGTTATTTACAAAAATACCACCGCGTCGTTATTTTTAAAATTAGATATGATTCATTGATCTGGACACGTGGATGGCTGGCATGCATTCGCATTTCTCTCCTGGGCACTTATTCACACAGGAGTGCAACTATATATATATATATATATATATATATATATATATATATATATATATATATATATATATATATATATATATTTATTTATTTATTTATTTATTTATTTATTTATTTTTTTGAAAGTCAAACTCAATAATCATTAAATCAAAGACGAAATACACGAAGGCGGGACAATGTCCCAAACCCCTAGGACAGACTCGGAATCAGTCGTCCGTGCTAGCACATGAGCTACATGATTCGCTGACCTTAGGACATGGCGGATAGACACATCCCCAATATCCCTAGCAATATCAACACATTGCTTAATAACCATACCAACATAAGAGAAGTCGAGGTTCGAAGAGTAAAAACTATTACAGAAATTGAGGCAATCGGATTCAACAATAATATGAGTGATTCTACGAGCTTTGATCCAAGTTAGAGCCTCCTTCATGGCTAAAGCTTCGGCCAAATAAGGATCCCGACCGCAAGACAAACGAACTGCGGAAGCTGCTACAAATACGGCAAAATGATCGCGAATGACTGCACGAGCCCCTCGATATCCTTCGCCTACTGCAGCATCTACATTACACTTTAGGATCCCCATGGGAGGCGGCAACCACGCTGTTGATGAAGGATCATGCGTAACACTGGTTGGCATGTTGTCATTGCCCCCTTGCTGCCACTGAAGAACCAAACACTCAACACTCTCTTTCAGCGTAGAAGAGGACCAAGATTTAGCATTCCATACCTTGTCGTTATGGGCGAGCCATAAAGTCCAGAACCTGGCTGTCATGAGAACAGATTCCTCCACTTCTGGCTTCTCGTAGATGGACTCCACCAACCGTAGGAAAGAGGATCCTTGCATAACATCCACAGAATCCCAGACGATCTCAGTCACAGGGCAGGCACAGAATATGTTCTACCGTTTCCTTGTCCGCTGGGCACATAGGACAACCACCACCAACGAACACCCTCCTACTCCCCAAGTTCTCGCACACCGGCAGCACGTTTGTGACACAACGCCACATGAAGTTGCGTATTTTCGGAGGGACCTTACTACTCCATAGTTTCCTCCACGCTTTAAACTCCGAATAGGCAGCAGAAGATTCAGTATTGCGGGTGAGATTTCGATAGCCATGTTTAACAGTGTAAACACCCCTTATGTCGCCAGGCCAACACCACGAGTCTTCGTATTCATGAGATACCGGAGTCGCTAAAATTCTAGGGATATCTTCTTGATCGAAGATATCTCTGATCAGATCCACATCCCACGAGCCATTCTCATCCAAAAGGTTGGAAACCCTAGCTTCACTGAGCTCTGCAACAACCGGGGTAACTAGCGCTGGATTGGACACATCTGATAGCCACGAATAGCCCCAAATTGTAGTTGTTTCCCCATTACCAACTCTGCGTGCAACACCATTACGTAACAAATCCTGGCTAGCCCTGATGCTACGCCAAATGTAGCTGGGATTATGCCCAAGTGGCGCGTCAAGAAAGTCCACTGAAGGAAAGTAGCGGGCTTTTAGAAGTCTGCTTACCAGAGAAGTTGGGTTGATCATGACTCTCCAACCTTGTTTAGCTAGAAGAGCTAGATTAAATTCCCTCAATCGTTTGAACCCCATGCCACCCTTGGATTTCGGCACTGCCAACTTAGACCAACACATCCAGTGTATCCCTCTCGTAGTTGCCCTATCATTTTGCCACCAATAGTGGTTCATTAGCCTCTCAATAGAGTCACAAACAGTGCCTGACAGAAGAAAACAAGACATTGTGAAAATAGGCATTGCTTGTGCTATGCTTTTTAACATAACCTCTTTCCCGGCCCGTGTGAGGAACCTCTTTAGCCACATATTGATACGGTCCCTAATGCGCTGTTCAATGTAACGGAATACTGCCTTCTTGTTACGCCCCAAAAAAGACGGTAAGCCCAAGTATCTCCCAAAATCAGTTGTTTGAGACACCCTAAATACAGTAGCCACTAATGAACGTACGGTAGAGGGGGTATTGGTGCTGAGCATGATGCTAGACTTATCGAAATTGACCAGCTGCCACGAAGCATTACAATAAGATTCCAAACTAGTTTTAACCTCCGTTGCCTCACCCTCACTTGCCCTAAAGAAGATTAGACTGCCGTCAGCGAAGAACAAATGGGAGACAGAAGGGGCCCCTCTAGCAATTGTTGCACCATGTAAACTGCCTCTAGCTTCTTGCTCCTGAAACATGATGGATAAACATTCGGCACAAATTATGAATAAGTACGGGGGCAGGGGGTCACCCTGTCGAATACATCTCGTTGGATTAACACTGCCCACCGAACCACCATTTACCAGGATAGCATAGCGTACAGTTGTGACGCACAACATAATGAGATCGACCCACCCACGAGCAAATCCTAATGCCGTCATCATTCCCTCCAAAAAATTCCATTCCATACGATTGTAAGCCTTGGCCATGTCCAGTTTTAGAGCATCCTAACCTACGGAACCCGTTCGTTTAGCCCGGAGATAGTGTCCCACCTCGGCTGCCACAATTATATTGTCCGAGATTAATCTGTTAGGGACGAACGCACTTTGGGATGGTGAAATAATAATATCCATTATATGTTTCATCCTGTTTGCCAGCACTTTTGCAAATATCCTGTAAGCTACGTTACATAACGCTATTGGCCTTAAATCCGTAACACGTTCCAGTAACTTCTTCTTTGGAATGCGGACAACGTTCGTGGAATTTAGACCTGGCGGCAAGACACAATCATTAAAGCAATTTGTAACAAAACAGGTTAGGTCATACCCCAATATAGGCCAGAAAGCTTGAAAGAAAGAAGGAGTCATTCCGTTCGGGCCCGGAGCTTTATCTGAGGACATGGAAAACAATGCAGCCTTCACCTCTTTCGAATCCACTAGGGCTAGCAATCTTGCGTTCATAGCATTCGACACTCGCGTTGGCACTCTACCAAACAAGTCCGACGTAGTGTGCGAGGAGCAGAATATAGAGGAGTAATACGCAAGGACCTCTGCATGCATTGCATGGCCATCAATCCATACACCGGAAGTGTCGCGTAGCCGATGGATAACATTGGACTTTTTCCTGTGACTGGCGAAGCGATGGAAAAATTTTGTGTTCTGGTCACCCTCCCGGAGCCATAGCTGTTTTGAGCGTTGTCGCCAGTATATTTCCTCTTGAGTAAGCAAAGAGGAAATCTCCATCTCTGTTGCACTGTACGCTGCAACGTCCATAGGATCACGACTGCCGCGAAGTCGTTCAAGTCGAGTCCTCAGAATCTGCAGACTGCGTCCAAACTTATTGAAGTGGTCCTTCCCCCACTCCCAAAGGATCTTGCCACACTCACGGATTTTATCGTTGAAACACAGGGAGTGTGACTTCCACCAAACAGATTCCACAAGTTCTTTGCAATTGGAGTCCAACAGCCAGGCTGACTCGAACTTGAAGCTCCTTGTGACCCTGCGCGGTAGGCTACCAGATATATCCATAAAGAGAGCATTGTGATCCGAAGAAATGGAGACCAAATTTAACACCGTTGCTTGATCATACACATCTCTCCATTCCGGCGACGCCACTGCCCGATCGAGCCGCTCCTCCACCCAGTGGTCCGTGCCTCTTCCCCGGTGCCATGTGAAACCATGGCCAGACATTCCCAAGTCCGAGAGATTGCAGTCACTCAGTGCTTCATTAAAACCTCGAATGAGGGAATCAGGATGGGATACCACACCTTGCTTCTCCGCGTGGCTCGCGATATTGTTAAAATCGCTGTTTGCCACCCAAGGCAGTCGGGAAGACATCTTCAGATTACGTAGCAAATGCCAAGAATGTTGGCGGTCTGATCTGTTTGGGAAGCCATAGAAGCAAGTTAG